GGGGAAAGGGTTCCAAACTCACCAGCAGCTACTGCTCGTTGCTTCAGAAAGTGAGGGCCCTTGTTCTCTGTGACCTGCAGGGAAGAGTTCAGGCAGTCAGCTCAGCGTGCCCAGCGCCCCAAGGATAACTGCTTCGAGTTATCCCAGAAAATGGAATCCCAGAAAATGGAATATGCTGCAGTAAGAGCAGCGAGGTCAGGTGGAGCTTTTCTGCCAGAAGATGAGCCTGACACAGCTTTGATTCAGTGCAGCACTTTGCTGCTGCTGCCTTGGAGCTCCCTGCATTTCTAAAAGGATTCCAGGACCCTGGGGGAGGTTGTGTTAAATTCTGAGGCTGGACAAGCCCTTGGCATGACTGGGAGAGCAGCGATCAGTGTGGGATGCTATAGGATGCTGTGGGGTGCTGAGGGATGCTGGGGGGTGATGTGGGATGCTGCAGGAATCTGGGAACACTGCAGGATGCTGAGAGATGCTATGGGATGCTGTGGGATACTGTGGGATGCTGTGGGATGCTGTAGGGTGCTGTGGGATGCTGTAGGGTGCTGTGGGATGCTGTAGGGTGCTGTGGGATGCTGTAGGGTGCTGCAGGAATCTTGGAACGCTCCAGGATGCTGTGGGATACTGTGGGATGCTGTGGGATACTGCAGGATGCTCCCTCTGGCTCTGGCCTCTCTGGCCTGTGCTGACCCTCAGGACTGTCAGGAGCCCCCACCCCACAGCATTTTTAGGAAGGCGTGTTTTATGGGCAGCCACCAAAAACACTATGAATAAACTCACTAAGCTGCCCTTGGTCAGCTCCAAGCAAAGGATTTGAGGCATTCTGCCCAACAAAAAAGCTGAAATTATTGATATGGACATGCTGAGGCTGTCTGCTGCTGGCTGTGTCTCACACAGCTTCAAACGCTGCAGGAGAAGGAGAAAACAGATRATTTATATTAGCAGGAGGGAGGAGAATGTTTGTGCAAGGAGAGTCAGCCTGCCTGGGGTTGGGGACTGCTGGCTGCTTCAGTAAACCCAAAGATAGTTTAATGTTTTACTGGAAGTAAACATCCGTGTGCTCCTGCAGAAAACAGTCATTTCTTAAACAGTTGCTCCAGGGTGTTGGGGAAAAATGGAGAAGGAAAACAGTAGGGGAAATTCTCCCTTTTTTTATTCCCTTGCCCACCTGTACACAAAAGCATGGCCCAGCCCCAGCAGCCTCCTGCTGCACTGGAATTGCCACCCAGCAGAGATTGGTGTGAAATTCCAGCGTGAGGCTGAGGGAAAATTGCTGCTGTGCCATCCAGGAGATTTCTGCGCCTTTCATTACCGTGTAAGGACTTTCAAAGTCCTGCTCTCTGTGGTGACTAAACACGACTGATGTGACACAATCACAGACAGGTGACTTGGGCCTTGCCCTGGAGGGAAGCACACGGTCAGAATTCAGGATTTCCCTCACACTCCCCTTGCTTTCAGAATTCAGGATTTCCCTCACACTCCCCTTGCATTCAGAATTCAGGATTTCCCTCATACTCCACTCACTTTCAGCCAGGTGTATTCACCTAGGAGTGTATTTACACATGATCTGTGTGACATTTGCTACATATTTCCCAAGTGACTAATTCCTGTCAGCGATCCCATTCTCTAATGACTCGATAGCCAGCTCAAAAATCAATCCCTAACCTACATTGAAGGATTCAGCTTCCGTGGAGTATGTTTACATACTCAAAGAGTAACTTCTGCCGAAGTTCCTTGTGTAAACTCGGATGTTGCAATCCAAACAGAGGTGGCAGGAAAATGAGAAGGAGAATAAGGAGAATTCTGCTTCTTTATAAAAGATAACAGAATGGTTTTGTTTAAATCTAAATTTACTTGTTTCCTAAGAACRCCAGAGGGAAACTCCAGGTGCAGGAGCAGCATTCAGGGATGCTGAAGGACAGAGTGATGCAGCAGATAACGCAGGGGGACAGAGCAACGTGTGAAATTATTCTGTTGCCTGGCAAAGGTATGGCTGTTCTTTCCTTTCCTGAGTGTGCTATTTGATAAAGGCATGAATATAAATCTCCAGCAGAAAATGTTTTAGCAGCAGACATTGAAGGTGTCAGTAATACTTGTCCTGAACAGGCACAGATATGCACAGAGACGGAGGACTGAGCAGCATGAGACAGCAGAGAGAAACTTTACAAAGTCAGTGCTTTTCTTGTTTTCCCCTTCTTTACTCAGCTGTGATTCTGAAAAGTTCACAGCCTTGCTTCAATTTTCCCTTTGGTTTCTGTGGAGAGCCCAACCAGCCCTGAGTGATGGGGAAATCSCACCCGGAGCTGACTCACAGATACTTGGACAGGCAGCTTCCCTGAGAGAGAGAACTCTTCTGCATGGTTCTGGTACCAACAATGCCCACAAGGCTCAGTCCATTTGCATCTGGATATTGCTAAACCCAAAAAGAAGGGCTGATATCCAACAGAATAGGGCATGGGAAGAGCAGCTGGCACTGCAGGCAGAGGGACTGACCAGCAAAATATCCCCAGCTCCTCCACCCACTCCCTTTCCAGCACTATTTCACTGGGAGGATCTCTGCAGTTCACCTGCACCACATAAACCCAAAGGTTTCTAACTCCASAGATACTGCATGGCCTGGCCTGGGGATATTTGGTAGGGACCTGGCCTGTACTAGTCAAACTGGCTTCAATCACAACATTTTGGCTGGAAAAATCCTGGGATGTGCTCGCTGCCTGCTGTGGCCATGAGGGACCTTTGCATCCAGCWGTGGCCAGGCAGGGATTTAACTGGTGCTGCTTCTGGGAAGAGAATCCCAACACCTGAGTCCATCCAAGCACAGGGCTCACTGCTCCTCTCCAGGCATTTCTCCTTCCCTAAAGATCAGGAAGCCTTTTGAGGTTCTCCTTCCTTTATGGGCACATCCTTCCTGGGATTTGTTTCCAGCTTTCTGGCTTTTTCCTTTGGGGCAGGATCCAGGTGGAGCYGCTGGGATTTTCAAGTTCTCACTGCTCTGCACCAGGTCCCTTCCCCCCTGCCAGCTGCCATGGCACAGATGTGGCACTCAGGTGCACATGCAAGCGTTTGGACATGGTTTGGAATTCCTCTTTATGCTGCTTSTGGCCCTGGCACACCAAGGATGCCATGAAAAAAAATAAACCCAAACACCGACAACTCCAGGCCACGGGAGCTGGTGCTCTGCTGAGGTGGATGCTGAGGCAGTCAGAGCTGCTCTSCTGGCTGCTGTGACATCCCATTGGCAGCTTTGGGAACTCAGACTGAAACTTGGCTTCCCTTTCAGGACAGATAAAGGATGAACCTTCCTCTGGCAGGGCATCACTATGGCCTTAATATAGAATTCCTGCTACCAACACAAGCCACGTGTTCTGGTTTAATTTCCTCTGGTTCTATTTCCTCTCCTCACTCWGGACTGAAGCACAAAACAAAGTGATTTCTGCTTCCCAAAGGAGCAGTGGAGGGAGCCTGGAARGTGTCCAGGGAAAACCATCACCAGACTGGAATTATTCACTCAAGATGCACCAAACCATGACACAGAGAAAACCGTGGCCCACACGTGGTGTGTAATGACATAACTCGCCCTGCCTTTCCCTGAAAGGAACATTTCCAGTGGAATAGGTGACTGCATTCCTTCAGAGGCACAAGGTGACACCACACAGATATGAAGGGAGCACTTCACCCCGCGGGCAGGGGCAGGGTGCCCGGGACACGCCTCTGTTGCACAAACCTCCCCGGGCTTCCCTTGCTCCAGGAAGGACTCGCTCAGGAATTTACTACGTCTGCTCCTCACCTGCTGAGTCCCTTCCTGCTCCTGGGACTGTCCCCAGAGATGAGAAGGTGACAATCCTGTGTGGGCTGAGTGCTGTGGGGCAACCAGAGGACTCCTCCCGTGGGCTGCGAGGGTCAGGAGGCCAGTACTCACTGGGGAAAACTCGGGGCTGCCTACACGTCCTGGGTACCCAGGGCACCCACATCCCAAACCAGTGCCCCACAGAACTCAGCCACACACAGCTGGTCCCAAGAGTCCCGATTTGAGCTGTCAGTGGGGTACATGAGGATGGAATCGTTTAGCAAACTTAGGAAATGCAAAAAGACTTCTTCCCAAGAGCCCTTTATGCCCAGCAACTTCACCAGGGACTGGAGCAGCCCGAATCTGCAGAACTGAACTCCTGGACTCAGTGTGTGTGATGGGGCTTCTGAGGGAATTGTCAGCAAGCCAGCCCGGCAGACAAACCCAGCCCTCGGTGCCACCACCGAGAGCACAGCCAGAATGCAGCGGAGTGAATGAAAAGCCCGGGACCAGCAGAGCCCAGCTGAGCTGCAGCTCCTCCCACGGCACCCGGGCACCCGGCCAACCCCAGATTTTCCTCTTCCTCCCCGGGACTCGCAGAGGTTGTAACTCCCCCATCACCTCGTTACATCACTGTGGGAATACTACGAGCTGCTAAATCGGGAGCGTGTGCTGGGAGAGCGCGCCGGGGTTGCAATTCCGATCTCTTACGYCGCGCTCTTCCTCTTCAACAGCCAAACCCACTCATAAGAATACTTTTCCATTCTAACCCTGCCAGTGGGATCACGAGCCAGRAATGCATCGGATTGATCAAACAAGCCAGCATTTGATGATTCTTTCTCTCTGAGGCTGTTTGCAGACTGAACTGATCTGCTCTCACAGGACACAAACAAACTCGGAGCAGCGGCGGAGACCGCCCAAAGCATCCCGTGTTCTTTCACCCGCAATCTCGAGCAGCGCCCAGCTCTCTGCTCTGCCGTAATTTCACCCTTTTGGAACTGCAGCCCCCCAAATCCTCTCAGAACGTGCCCAAGCCCTGAAGAAAGCCGTGCTCKGGCACCTGCAGTGGGTTCCTACAGCTGGGCACAAGGAATTGGCAGATTTAACAGCCCGAAGGGCTGCACSGAGGTAAAACCGCGTACCACAGAGGCTGCTGCGCCCTGAACTCGGCATCACTCGGGCAGGAACCGCCGGCAGCGCAGCCGCGGGTTCACACAGGGGCCAGCACATCCCTGGGAGCCACCAGCGCAGGCGGGGCCACGGCTCTCACCCTCCCTAAACATCCCCGGGCTGAACGGGAGCCAGGCGAGAAACCTGCCTTCTTCGCTGATGAACCGGGGAATTACAGACCTGAATTTAAACCCACACCTTAATTCTCCAGACTAATAGCCCGGGAAATCCCTGCTGAACTCACAGCCGTCCATGGGAACARGCACTTGCAGGGGGAATGGAGCAGAAGGGAAGGGAGTTGGAAGCAGCACAGCACAAGTTTTTATGGCTGGGACCAAAGTGAATGCAGCTGTCTGGCAAGGGGAAAGAGCTGAGACGATCCACAGGTCTAGGGAAAGTTTTAATGGGGAGCAAAAAACAGGATGGAAAATTGAGGGTTGGACTGCCTTAATCACCTCCAATCACATCTCTAAGCTTGTATTAGTAATAATTAATAACACACCGTGGCTGTAGCTGTCAGCGCGGTGATGAGTGACTGACCCACTGACATCAGCAGGTCTTCCTGAAATCACACTCTGGAAGGGGAAGCCACGGATTTCACCCAAAAGAAGGCAGGAAAATGAGCCACAGTGTCAAAAAGCTGGCCGAAATCAGTGCAGAGACACTGATTTCTACCAATCAGAGGTACTCCTAAGCATTCCCTGCAGCGCAGCAACGAAAGTTTGAAAGTCATGCCCAGTCACCTCAGTGGAAGTAAGGAACCGTTAGTTAAAAAGAAGGAGCAATAATCAGAACGAGCAATAATAGGAACGAGCAATAATCAAAAAGAGCATTAATCAGAAGGAGCAATAATCAGAAGGAGCAATAATCAGAAGGAGCAATAATCAGATTTATCCTCGAGTTAAGGAAGAAGGAACATAACAGCGAGTCTCTTTAGGCACGAGAAATCCACGAAGAGAATGAGAAGAAGTCCACAAAGGCGGGCTAGGGCAGGAGGCAGGCGCACCCATCCCTTACCTGGGCGCCGCAGGAGCCGGGCGCTCGCAGGTTCCCGACCAGCAGGTAAGCGGTGGGCAGCAGCAGCAGCAGCACGGCCAGCAGGCACAGCAGCACGGCGCAGCGGATCCTCCTCAAATCCTTGCGGAGGTGCATCCCGGAGCCTTGGGCGCCGCCGGGAATCTCCGGCCCCATCTCCACCGCGCGGTCCATGGCAGCAGCGCCGGGCTCGTTCTCCGAGGGAGCCGGGCACCGCCAAACCTCTTGTGGCGCCTGCCCTGCATGGAGACCCCCATTAAATAAGAGCTGGCCCGAGTGTGGGAAGGCACCGGCGCGCACGCACACCCTCCCTCCCTCCCGAGGAATGCACCGCCTACAATAGAAACCGAGCGCAGGCAGCGGCGGGAGCACCGCGCTCCCCGCGCTGCCCCGGGCCGGCTCCTGCCTCCCCACGGCTTCGCCTCCCCCCCCCTCCCGGTGCAGAAGGAAGCCAGGAAAGTCCCGGTGGGCGGAACCAGGATAAACCCCGCTGCTGGGATGGATAAGCTCGCCGGCTTTTCCGCGTGGCGGAGGGAACGTGAAACCAATGGGAGTGAAAGTGAGAAGCGGAGGGGAGAGCCAGAGGAGAGCAGAGCAGGGCAGTTTCTTCTTTCCCAGAGAAAGGGGAAGAGGCTTTTAGGGAAGGTGAGACAACGGGAAGCGACTGACCCCACAGAAGGGGTCCTGTTCTCTGAAGTGTTGCTTCACCCCCCATTTTAGCAGAATTCACAAGCCCGTTGCTCAATGTTCACCTTTTGTACCGAACCATCGGGGGTTAGGCCCAAAACTGCGTGTTTGTCTGCTCTGGGCTTCATCTTTTCCCAAATCATCCTAATTAAAAATCTTAACAAAAAAAAAAATTGTGCTGTCACTTAGTCTGTTACTGCTGCTTGGAAAAGCATGACTATGCCGTACTTGGGGAAAAATTGRTGTCAATCTTCCTTGACTGACAGCTGCTGTCCCTGATGGAGAGCGGCTGCTGCSTGGGGAGATCCTCTGGAGCTGATCAGCAGCGCAGCCAGGAGGAACAAACTCGTCTGGCAGCTGATGTGCAGTTGGAAGGGGCTCCCGGATCCCAGGAAAGTTCCTCACTTGCTTCCTGCAGCAGCCCATCCTCCACAAGGAAAATCCGCTCACTTAGGAAGCGCTGGGAATGGAGATAGGGCTATTTAGGCTTACCCAGACTGTTGAAATCAGATTTTTTTTGTCCCCCAGGAAAGTTAATCTGTCATTAAAACAGAAACTTTCTTTGATGTGTGCATGCACACGGAGTGATGTGCAAGAACTTCTTTTTCCCTGCATAGAGAAACAGGCTGGAAACTTGAACACTTCTTTAGTGAGAGAGGTTTGTTTTCCCCCACCTCCCCATGAAAAGCATTTCAGATTTCGATTTTTAAAAAATTAGATCAAAAAAAGAAAACTATTTTCTCACATTCCAGGCTGTCTGTAACATCCTCCCCCCCTCAAAAAAAAAAAAAAAAAAAAAAAAAAAAAAGAAATCAGCCAGCTCTTATCACTTCAATGACACGGCAAGTAATCTTCCTATTTCAACAGTTGAGTTCAGCTCTTGATACTCTGGAGAGATAAATTTCATGCTCTGAGCAGAACATGTGGTTTGGTCAGCGAGGCTGCCTGAGGCTGCCAGCAGCAAGGAYGGGATCCTTGCCAGCAGAGAGAGAATGGACCAGGGAAATAGAAAGCAAGAAAGGGTGAGCAAGAAACAGTGAAAAGCAGGATGATTTAGGGAGATGGGTATGAGAGAGGGTAAATCATGGAATCCCAGACTGGTTATGGTTGGAAGGGACACTGAAGGTCCCTCAGTGCCACCCCAGCCATGGCAGGGACACCTCCCACTGTCCCAGGCTGCTCCCAGCCCCAATGTCCAGCCTGGCCTTGGGCACTGCCAGGGATCCAGGGGCAGCCACAGCTTCTCTGGGCACCCTGTGCCAGGGCCTCCCCACCCTCCCAGGGAACAATTCCTTCCCAATATCCCATCTAAACCTGCTCTCTCTGAGTTTCTGCCATTCCCTGTGTCCTGTCCCTCCATCTCTTGTCATTGTCTCTCTCCACATTTCCTGCAGCTCCTTCAGGCACTGCAAGGTCACAATTCAGTCACCCCTGGTCTCCTCTCCAGGTGAGCACCTCCAGCTGTCCCAGCCTTCCCTCCCAGCAGAGCTGCTCCCTCCTCTGATCCCCTGGTGCCTCCCCTGGGCTCTCTGCAGCAGCTCCAGGTCCCTCCTGTGCTGTTCCCCAGGGCTGGGGCAGCTCTGCAGTGGGGTCTGACCTGAGCACAGGGCACAGGGGCAGAATCCCCCCCTCCCCTCCCCTCCCCTGCTGCCCAGGACTGGGGGTTTCTAGCCTGGCTCATGCCATCTGCTCACCCAGCACACGTTCCTTGTGAAGCACCAAGGGCCCCGTGCCCCAGCCCGAGCCAAACCACATCACTGCTGTGAGACCTGACACAAGTGACTGCCTSTGTTTCCTTCCTTAATTCATTGTTTGTTTTCATTTAGCCTGTAAAACCTTGGGGACAAGGGCTGCTCGCTGCTTTTACTGGATCTCATTTCAGGGTAGGCGTTGCTCCATTTACTATTAAATAAAAGAGCTTATATTTCTATGCACTCCTATCTAGAGATGTGCTTTTTTTTTCACTTTTTTTTTTTTTTTTTTTTTTTTTTTTTTTTTTTTTTTTTTTTTTTTTTTTTTTTCCTGAGGTCCCAGCTGCACATTTTAGGGCAGAATACTAAAAACCATTGATACTAATTATTTTGATCACAAGTGCCAAAGTTAATTTTCTCTTCACTGCAAGTGCTCCAAAAAGCTTAAAATATATTCAAGGCATGGGCCTTGTCAGTAGATGGACACACAGGAATTTATTTTTATTTTTATTTTTATTTTTATTTTATTTCCCAAGGATTTCCAAGGGAGCCAGCTCTGAGTTACAACAGCTTGTAAATGCTTTTATTGGCCACAGACCTCTCCTGCAGACCTTTGGCTGGAAGAGGATGAGCCTTGGGGAGCTGAGCTCTTSAGACATGATGGGAACAGGCTCAGGCTCTGCCCCTGGCTTTGAGGCCAAGGCAGAGATCTTRGGATCTTAAGGATCTTAAAGATCTTTTTGGGATCTTAAGGATCCCAAAAAAAGGAAGAGAAAGTCTTTTTTTTCCTGTGCAGACAGGTGTGTCTGGCTGACAGGAGGCTGGTGCTTGCCCAGGAGGAGACTCTCAGCAGAGCAGCTCTGGAGTTACGGGGAAAAAACCAGCACTGGGATGCACTGGGATGCACTGGGATGCACTGGGATGCACTGGGATGCACTGGGATGTTCCCCAGCCATCCCCTGGCTGCAGGACAGGGAATAGAGACCTTGGGGAGCCACCATGGTCTCGTTTTTCCCATGAATGAGCTGGTTGGTGGCAATCAGGGCACAGGCAGGGACGGTTCTCGCTCTTGCTTGTGTCACACCACGCCATCTCGTGCCACCCTTCACGTATCCTGCTGCTCCCCATTTGTCCCCAGCTCCTCTCTCAGCCCGGCCTGTTGTGCAAATCCTCCTGCTGTTGTCAGACATGTCCCAGCCTGCGATCCTTGAGGAGTTTCTGCTGATCAGAGAGTTCTGCAGGGGTTACTGCTCCCGCTCCTGCTGTGGCTGCACCAGCTCTGCAGAGGGCAGATGTTCTCCTGGGGATTTACTGCCGGGCTCAGGGATGGTTTTTTTGAAGGGCTGAAAAAGTAKGAGAGGAATTGGGGATCCAAAGGAAACAGCTTGGCACTGTGGCACGTCACCACTGCGCCGCTGGGTTTTCTCTGCTGTCTGAAGTGCTTTTGTGTTCTCCCTGCGTGTTTGTGCCTGATTTTGGCATTTTGGCTGAGGATGAGCTGGATCACATCCAGAGTGAGGAGAGAGGAGTGCACAGGGATGGTCTGACAGCTGCTCCTCTCCTCAGCATGGAAAATGTTCAGCGTGTTGAACCTTTATTCATTCCTTGTATACATCAGGGCATGGCTGTGCTCAGGTTTTGGGCCACTCATTGCAACAAAGACCAGGGAAGGGAACAGGACTGGGGAAGGGTCTGGAACCCCAGGAGTGGCTGAGGGAGCTGGGAAAGGGCTCAGCCTGGAGCAAAGGGGGATCAGGGGGGACCTTGTGGCTCTGCACAGCTCCCTGACAGGAGGGGACAGCCGGGGGGATGGGGCTCTGCCCCAGGGAACAGGGACAGGAGGAGAGGGAACGGCCTCAGGCTGGGCTGGGGAGGGTTAGCTGGATATCAGGAAAATTTCTTCACTGAAAGGACTGCCCAGTCCTGACACAGCTGCCCAGGACCGTGGTAGCATCCCCATTCCTGGAGGAATATAAAAGCCATGTGGATGTGGCGCCTGGGGGTCAGTGATGACCTTGGCAGTGCTGGGGGAATGGTTGGACTCTGTGGTCTTGGAGGTCTTCTCCAAGTGAAACAATTCTAGAGTTCAACGATTTTCTGTCTGTGTTCTAAGGTTTAAAACTTGCAGTGAGAGTGGACGGAAAGTAATAGAGCTTTCAATGCTTATTTGATRCACTTTCTAAGGGTTTTCAAAGTGATTTTTGCTCATTGTGTAGGGAATTCTTGATGTTTTAGCTGTGCCATTTTAGCTGAGTCCTGAGAGACTCCCCTCAGAAATGCAAAGCCCAACTTGGAAGAGAGAGGGAATCAGTGAGTGAATTTGCTCCCCTTGATCTCATCATTTCCTTCCTGCCCTGRTGTTCAGTTGGATAATCTGGAATCTCCCACCGGAGGCTTGTGTGTCAGAGGTGCAGCAGGGCTGGAGGGAAGGCAGAGGGGTGAGCGAGCTCCTCTTGGCACGATCATCTCTTGGGAGAGCCATGATATCACCCACCCACAGTGGAGGGGTTTTCTCCTGGCCGTGGGCAGGTGTGGGGGTGTCTCAGGAGGGGATTTTCGGGTCACTCCTTGCACAACTCCCGAACCCCAGGGAGCAGAAACAGGACAAGCCCCCAGCTGCTGTGAGAAAACATCAGCCTGGGCTTGTCACCAGGCAGGAGATGGGGACCAGCTCCTCCAAACACCCCTTGCCATGGGGTGACATCAGACGGGAAGGAGTGGGGAGCTGTGGGATGGGTCCCCACCTCCATCCGCTGTGTCCCCCATGTGACCTCCTACCTGCGAGCTGCTGCTCCTCCTGCCRCCGCTCTTCCCTCCCACGCACACGGGGTGAGCGAGGCAATGGGCTGGGCGGTGCTGCCGAGGTGTCAGGAGCTGTCAGGAGCTATCAGGAATGTCACAGCCCAAAGGAATGGTGCTCCTGAGRTGTCAGGAGYTGGAGGAATGYCACAGCCCAAAGGAATGGTGCGCCCGAGGATTTGAGAGCTGGGAGGAATGTCATAGTGAAAGGGATGGTGCTCTGAGGTGTCAGGAGCTGTCAGGAGCTGGAGGAATGTCATGACCCAAAGGGATGGTGCTCCCGAGGTGTCAGGAGCTGTCAGGAATGTCACAGCCCAAAGGAATCGTGTGCCCGAGGATTTGAGACCTGGGAGGAATGTCATGGCCAAAGGGATGGTGCTCTGAGGTGTCAGGAGCTGCAGGAATGT